TGCACTCCAGCCTGGGCAACAAGAGCGAAACTCCGTCTCAAAAAAAAAAAAAAAAGAAAAGGTTACCCAAGTGCCACCAAGACTTTCCTCCTCCCAGACAACATGCCTGTGTTTTCCATGTATCTGGTTGTTTTTCTCTGGCCCCTGATCATCTTCACGGAGGCAGCTTGACCGTGGGTCCCTCCCTGTAGCTGTCCTTAGTAACAGCAGATTGAGAGAGGAAGAGCAAAGATCAGCCCTTCCAAACACTGCCACCAAATTAAGGTATAAAGTGTCTCCCTACTGGGTCTTAGACACAATACTATTTTCCTATATGATATCTACTTGTACCTTATCCCAATTCTGTGAGGTTGGTGTCATCCCCATTTTATTTTATTTTTTAATTTAATTTAATTCCATCTCTTTGCAAGTCCCTGAGTACCTGGAATCCCATTCTAGAGATGAGAAAAATGAAGCTCCAGTTAGTGGTAAGAGGAAGTTATCTGATTGAAGATTCTAGATTTTCTCTACTACCGCACCATTTCCCAGGAACAACTATCAAATGTACACGATTTAACTCAGTCAGCCTCTCCTTGAAACACTCACTTCATGAGTCCACAAGTCTCCTGAGTCCTCCCACCTCACTGGCTGCTCTTTCCCAGCCACCCTTGTTTATGTTCCCTCCTCCATTCTGGTCTCCAGGTGGGCATTCCCTGTGGGCTCTCTCCTGCACCCCATTTTCCTCCTACCACCTCTCCCTAGGTAAAATTTTGTCCTTTTCCATAGCTTTAAGTACCAACTATGTGGTGATGATTCTCCAAATTATTTAATATCCAAGACTATTATCCAACCACACACTTGATGTTTCTACTCAAGGGCCTCACAGGCATTGTAACCATAATGGGCCCACTGCCTGAGGGCCTGCAAGTCAATACACCAACTACCAGGGTTGCAACAGAAAAAAATTTTTAAATGCAAGGCTGAACAAGGAAAGGAGAGAAAACCTCAATTCTGCTTCTCCAAAGAGTTGGGGGCTAGGGATTTTAAGGGGTCTGGAGTGGGCCGAGGTATGGGGATCACTGTGGATGAGTTGAAGAGTACGGAGAGTCAGGGAGATGAAGAAACTGCATTTTCATGCTGATTACTGTCCTCTGTGAGGGTCTTCCAACTGGTGGCATCAGCCATTCTGCTGGAACTCAAGAGCTAAAAACATCTTAAGCAAATCTTAAACAAAAGCCTTATGATTCCAACGTCAGTGATCCTATCTATAGGAACAATGGGGATGCAAATCGATTCTTCAACAAAAGCCTTATGATTCTAACATCAGAAGTCCTATCTATAGGAACAATGGGGATGTAAATGGTCAGTATCTGGACTTTTAGCAACAAGGAAGTGCGTCAAAGTGCAACCTAATTAATGCTTTTTCTTTCTTTCTTTCTTTTTTGAGACAGGATCTTGCTCTGTCACCCAGGCTGGAGTGTACTGGTGAAGTCACGGCTCACTGCAGTCTCAACCTCCTGGGTTCAAGGGATCCTTCCACCTCAGCCTCCCAAGTAGCTGGGACTACATATACAGGCATGAGCCACCCTGCCTGGCTTATTGTTTTTCTTTTTGTGTAGAGACAAGGTCGCGCTATGTTGCCCAGGCTAATCTCAAATTCCTGGGCTCAAGTGATCCTCTCACCTTGGCCTCCCAGAGTACTGGGATTACAGGTGTGAGCCACCACACTTGCTCATTAAGGTTAAATTATAACTGTATTTCTGTCCAGAACCTAGCGTGTAATACTTGCTAACCCTGTGAGGATGGCTTCCACATCCTAACCCTAACATTGAACCTTTAACCATCATCCCCAACCCAGTACCATCTTCTTTCCCATCCAGTAAATGGCATCACCACTTACCTAATGGCTCAAGTCAAAAACCTAGCCATCATTTATGATTGTTTTTTGCTCATCTAATCAATTTAGTGAGTCATTGGCCTATCTCCAAAAATATATCCCAATCCATCCATTCCTCTGTCTTTACCACCCCACCCTAGTCCAGGCCACCATTACCTACCGCTCAGATAGACTACAACAGTCTCACCTGCAGTGACATCATTTCACTGAGGCTGCTTATATCTGCATGACTATAATATTTGTTCCAGAAATTTCTTCCCCAGGAAGGTAAGAATGTAAACCAGTAAATAACTTCATTATTTCCTTCAGGAACTTCCTGAAAATCAATTTATCTGAACAATAGACTGCTCAAACAGCCCTCTTCTTGGAACAACAGTTTGCTTAACTGGGCAAACTAGTAGCTTATCAAACAATTGTTTATTCTTCAAGACCCTCCCTTCACCATGTCCTCCAATCCTAAACTGTTACAAATTTTGCCAAATCCCAATCAGATCCCCATATTGAAAGATCTGCCTTGAACTAGGCTTCAAATCCTATAAAAATCTTTACACCTGGAAAGTTCTTCCCCAAACCCTCCTCTTCCTAAAGTGGGCACCTTTTCACCCTCTTGTCTCTTCTCATCTCCCCCTTTCCTGCCATATAAAATCATCCTCTACCCCATCCCACCTTTATTCTGTTTCTCAGTCCTGTTTGCTTCCTTCATAGCACTTACCACAGTTGCACTTATTTTATCTGTTTTCTTGTATTTTTCTTTTTTTTTTTTTTTTGGTGACAGAGTTTCTCTCTGTCACTCTGGCTGGAGTGCAGTGGTGCGATCTCTATTCACCACAACCTCCGCTTCCTGGGCTCAAGCAATTCTCCTGCCTTAGCCTCCTGAGTAGCTGGTATTATAGGCGCACGCCACTACCGCCTGGCTAATTTTTTGTACTTTTAGTAAAGACGGAGTTTCACCATGTTGGCCGGGCTGGTCTTAAACTCCTGGCCTCAAATGATTCACCCACCTTGGCCTCCCAAAGTGCTGGGATTACAGGCGTAAGCCACCGTGCCTGGCTTCTTGTATTTTTCCTGCTTCCCTTTAGACTGTAGGCTCTGTGAGGGGGGACCTTGTCTGCTCTAGTCTCCGTTTAATGTCCAGAATACCTGCTGAAGGAAAGACTCTGCTTGGCTTCCGGGAGTGGGGGCTCCGAGGGCTCCCCTCTGATTTGTGTGTGGCCATAGCCTGAAACACAGGTGGGGGTTGCGGTGCCCAGATGTGCTGGGTTTCTGATTTTCCCTTTAACCTCCAAGGTTAGAGACAAGGTGTAAAATGCAAATGCCCTTGGGAGAGATAATAAAATAATTAAATTCACAAAATAGTGTGAATTACTTTCCTCAAGCACCAGAGTGAAAGCTCTGAGAGAAAAAGCAAGAGCCCACGGGTTGACAACAGGAAGAAGCATAGTGAAATCCTGGTCTCACTGCTCTGCTTCAAGACGGTCCTGCCTGTTCCCTCACCCACCCCCACCTAACCCAGGGCCATTTTCCCTGCAAAGCTTAGAAACAGGGTGCTTGTAGGTCGGGTCAGTCACGTCAGGATAGGCCCAGCCTCATGAGGTTTGTCTGGTACCAACTCTTCATCCTTCTGTCTGAGCAAGTGCTTTTCCACATCTCTATAGCTAGAGATGTGAGTCAGAGGTGCCCCACTCAGGGGATCTTGCACCATGGCACAGCCCGTGGGGCTTCTTCTCAGAGGCAAGCACTGCCTTCAGGCTGACCTGAGGTGGGCTTCTACCCACTTCTACTTGGGCTTTTCTAGGGAGTCACACTCAGGTATGGAGCCCATCAAGAAAGTAACAGATTAAGTCACAGCTGTTTCATTTGCCTATCAGAATCTGACAGTACAAGATCTGGAAGGAATCGGCCTTCCAGAACCATCTCCTCTAGCTCCCTCTTTGTGCAATAGAGAAGACTGAGGCACAAGGAGGAGGGATAGCTCACTCCAGCCTGCACACTACACACGGGACTCCCTGAAGCTATCAGCCGCTCTGTGAAGACCGGGACAGTTCCTTTCACAGATGAGGAAAAAGACACTCAGAGAGGGGAGGGAAATTTCCCAAGACCACGCAGTGAAGGGGCACCATCGGACATCTGAACCCAGGTTTTCTGGTCCTCAGATCCATGCTTTGTCCAGCATACCATGCTGCCTTGCTGCTTTTGGGATTTTCTGGTCCTTGGAATCTGAAACATATAATAAACAGCATCTGAGTAGTATTCCGTACCCTAGATTCTAGCCTAGACCCTAGAAGTAGAAACAGCTCTCTGCTTTCCATATGCCAGTCAGCCTCCTGTTTCTTGAGTGGCAGACTTTCTCCCAAGGACAGAGGACCCAACCCATACCACCACTCCTTAACATGCAGGCACAGAAACATGCAGGGACCCCACTCAGTGTGTGGGTTCAGCTAATGTTGGTGACTTGAGTCCTTTTTACACATACACACACACACACAGACACACACACGCACACTTCTAGAGCTTTTCCACTCCATCTTCATGTGTTCAGCTGCCACAGGAAATGAGCTTGGGAAGAGGGCTGGAGTAGTCATTCTCACCTCCAGGGCTAGTGCACACTCTCTGTGAATGTAATTATCTGGAGTCCTAAGTGTAGGGCCAACAATCAGGCCTCATGTCTTCCTGATCTACTTGGAATGGGGGCAATGCAAAGACAGGGCCACTTCCCCCTGCGAGGACGCCCACATGCGTGCGAATACGCACAATAGTGGTTTTTTTTCATTCTCTTCTGTCTCTTCCCACAGAGAGGGGCCACTGGGCCCCACCAGAAAAGGCAGGTGATTGAGGGAGGGAGGAAAAGACATGCGGAAGGTGCTTCCCTCCCAGAAGTCTGCGCCATTTAGAAAATCCTGAGGCCGTCTCCTCAGTCTCTTTTCCTCCCCATAGCTACCACCTGGCTCACAGTGTCCCACACTCACCCCCAAACTTTTTTTAAAGCCCTATTTCCTGCCTTGAGGAGACCTAGATCCCCATCCTGGGAGGGACTGGCGACAATGAACAAAGGCACCATGGAGTAAAGACAATTAACAATCCAGAAAAGAGGGGAAAGAGAGGCTTTGTTCTGGTATCCATGGCAACAGGGGCGGGGGAGAGGGGAGGATGAAGGAGGAGGAGGAAGAGAAGGGGCATCCAGAGAGGCTGATACTTTCACTTTCCTTTCATCCCTCCCCTCTCCGCCCCTTTGGGTTTCTGCCAGGGATCCCAAAGGAAACAGGGCTGGGACAGGCCAAGTCTGAAGGCTAGAGATTAGAGGTGGGCAACTCCAAGATTCATGCCTTAGTTGAGAACTCACTGAGGAGTTAAGGCTAGACAGGAAGCTCTGGGGACTGAATCAAAGGTATTTGAGCTCTTCCTCCTCTTTTTCCAAAAGGCTTACCTTGTGCCCAAGAACTGTACCCAAAGATTAAGTGTCTGCCCTGGATGGACACCTCACGGTCAAAAAACTTGGTCGCTTCTGCATCCCTTCTCATTAGGATGTGGTGAAAAGTGAAGACAGGACTGTCTACACAGCTTGCAGGATCCGGTACAAAATAAAATGTTCCAAAATTAGTCCATGCGCGGTGGCTCACACCTGTAATCTCAGCACTTTGGGAGGCTGAGATGGGTGGATCACTTGAGGCCAGGAGTTCAAGACCAGCTGGCCAACATGGTGAAACCCCATCTCTACTAAAAATACAAAAATTACCCTGGCATAGTGGCATACACCTGTAGTCCCAGCAACTTGGGAGGCTGAGGAGAAGAATCACTTGAACCCAAGAGGTGGAGATTGTGCCACTGCACTCCAGCCTGGGCGACAGCGACCCGTGAGACCCTGTCTCAAAAAAAGAAGCAAGAAGGAAGGTAGGAAGGAAGGAAGGAAGGAGAGAAAGAGAAAAGTAAGGAAGAAAGAAAGATAAAAAAAGAAAGAGAAGAAAGAAAAGAAAAAAGAAAAGAGGGAGGGAAGGAGGGAAGGAAGGAAGGAAGGAAGAAGAGAAAGAAAGAGAAAAGAAAGAAATGAAGAAAGAAAGATGAAAGAGAAAGAAAGAAAGAAAGAAAGAAAGAAAGAAAAAGAAAGAAAGAAAGGGAAAGAAAGAAAAGAGAAGAGAAAGGGAAGGAGGGAAGGAAGGAAGGAAGGAAGGAAGGGAAAAGAAGGAAATGTTCCAAAATTGTTAAGAATTTCAAGATGGCAAAAGCAGAGCACCAAGTGCAGGGCCCTCTGAGCACAGTGTACAGGTTGCACATCCATAAAGCCAGCCCTGTCAGGAGGAGCTTGGGGCTGGGCTCTGTCTGCCTGCTCAATGTGTGTGTGCGTGCGTGTGTGTGTGAGAGAGAGAGAGAGAGAGACCTCTCCACTGCACACATTTCTGAGTGTGCGCTATGGTCTAGATGATGGTGTCCCCTCAAATTCATGTGTTGAAACTTAATCCCCACTGGGATCCCATTAAGATGTGAGACCTTAGAGGGGTGATTAGGTCATGAAAGCGGACTCCTCATGAATGAGATTAGTGCCCTTATGAAAGAGGCTTGAGGGAGCTGTTTGCCCCTTCAGCCATGTGGAGGACACAGATGGTGCCAGCTAGGAAGACTGGGCCCTCCTAAGACCCTGAATCTGCCAGCATCTTGATCTCAGACTTTCTGGCTTCTAGAATTTTGAACAATACCTTTCTGTTGTTTATAAATTACCTAGTCTAAGGTGTTTTGTTAACAGCCAAAATGGATTAAGATATTCACTTTTGAAGCAAGAGAGAAACCAAGTACAGAAAACCCATTCCCAAGAGTAGGGTGTTCTAGTAACCAGTGTTGACCAGCTATCCCAGGCTTCCCTCTTTGGAAAAGGCAGAAGACGGTGAGATGTACAAAGCTCCAAAATCCTGCTGAAGAACTATCAGGTTTCTATCCTAGGGGATTTAGAAAACACCTTCAATCTCACAAGGTGTTGCTCCCAGGAGCAGAAGTTTCTTGGCATGAGCAGCCAAGCACATCAGGCCTGGCCTCGTGGGTAGGCCTCTTCATTAGCCGTAGGAGAACAGACCTCCAGAACATTTCTTGCTCTCAGCAAACCTAACATCATAAGAGAAAATGGGTTAGGGACTCTGGAGACCTGTCCTTCTAGGGCTCAGCCTCACTGCCCTGTGGGTCCAAGTGAAATAAAAAATATTACTCAGAAACTAAAATCAAGGGGGAAAAAAAGTCAGTTGTGTCGGAGGCCCCAAATCAGGCAAGAAAGAGGTCAAAGATCCTGCTTTCTGCCCTCACCTCTCTGCCCAAAGGGATCCTCCCAGGGACTTCTTACAGGGTTGCTGTTATGGGCTGAATTCTGTCCTCCTCTACTCCTCAAATTCACGTGTTCTAACTCTCAGCACCTTAGAATGTGATCGTATTTGGAGACAGGGTCTTTACAGAGGTAATTAAATTAAAACCGGATCATGAGAGTGGGTCCAAATCCAATGTGACTGGTGTCCTTATAAGATGGTATTTGGATGCAGAGACATACAAAGAGATGCTGATGCGAAGAGTCACAGACAGAAGACAGTCATGTACAAGCTAAGCAGAGAGGCCTGGAACAGGTATTTCCCCCAGAAAGAACCAACCTGCTTACACCTTGACCATGGATTTCTACTCTCTAGAATGTGAGAAAATAAATTTCTGTTGTTTAAGCCACCCTGTCTATAACAGTTTGTTAGGGGAACCCTAGCAAATTAATATATAGAGACTTAAATGCTGGGAGGTCTGCATAGGCTTAGGTTGCCTGGACTCAAAGAATGCATCTGAATGAGGGATATGTTTGTACTTATATTGCAGCATTATTTTAACTTGAAGCAAAATTGATCTATTACTCCCTTCCCTCATAGCTCAGTCTTTTAAATTTTTTATTTCTTTTGGTATTGGTTGAATACATTTTATTGTTTTAATCCCTTTAGTCTTTTTATTTTTCTGGTTTTAATGATTTTACTTATCTCAGTCATTTTTAATCTCTGTTTTGTCTTTCTTCTAGCTATTTTATACTATTTTCTTTGATCTCATCTTATCTTCTAGATTTATTGTTATTGTATTATCTTTTTATTCCACATCTTTTATTTCTAACCTTTGCCTTGTCATGTCTTTGTTCTATCTTTTAATGTCTTTTTAGCTTATTTGGTTTATTTTTAGTTCATATTATCACTTTATTGCCTGCCGCCCTCTTTTTTTTTTAACTGTTTTTACCATCTTTTTTATTTCTTCTTAGTTTACTTTATCTTTTTATTGACTGTTGTATTAGCTTCCATTTTTTACTGTTTTCAATTCTCTCTGCTTATTAAATGCAGAGGCTGGAAACACAGCCCTCAGGGGAGAGCTTTGAGGCTAACCCAGGCCCCAAGTGGAGGAGGAGGCTGGATGCCCTCTCTGCCTTCTGGAGTGGGCCCTCCCAACCACCCCTTCTGGACGCTCCATTTGCACCAAAGCTGGCCCCTCCTGTCTATAAGGATTAATCTGTGTAATATAAGAGATCTTGGGGAAAAACTCCATCAGGAAGATACGTATTGTGAAAACCCATCTGAACTGCTGGAACAGCCTGGCTTTCTCACATCATATGCCATTGAATTGCTCTGTGTGCATCTGAAATGTACCATCACTGGACATTAGACCAAACCTATAAAAAGAGCATATTACTTGTCAGGGTGGGTGTGGTAGGTAGGAAATTTCACTTTGGGAAGAGCTCTCAACATACCTCTTTAGGTTTAATTTTACCAACAACAATAACAGGAACACAGTGGAAGGCCTGGTACGGTGGCTCACACCTGTAATCCCAGCACTTTGGGAGGCTGAGGAGGGTGGATCATAACGTCAAGAGATCAAGACCATCCTGGCCAACATGGTGAAACCCCGTCTCTACTGAAAATACAAAAATTAGCCTGGCGTGGTTGTGCTGTAGTCCCAGCTACTGGGGAGACTGAGGCAGGAGAATCACTTGAGCCCAGGAGGCGGAGGTTGCAGTGAGCCAAGATTGTGCCACTGCTTTCTAGCCTGGAGACAGAGTGAGAGTCCATCTCAAAAAAAAAAAAACCTAAAACAAACAAACAGAATACAGTGGACTGTGGACTGGATCCTAGCAGCACAAGTTTTTGGGAGGAAGCGCAGTGAAGTATTTTCTGGAATTCTTCTTACATCTAGCTGCCTCTCATTTATTCATTCACCTGATAAATATGTCTTGGAACCCTCCTATATGCCAAAGCTCTGCTAGGCAAGGAAGACAAAGTACTGACCAAAAAGAGTGAAGCTCCTTGCTATAATATAAGTCTAATAAAAGGATGTTTATCTATTACCAATCTTATTTGCCTTCCTTTAGGCAAGATTACAGGAGGTTCTTATGTCATAGATTGGTAATTGTCCCCAGGTATCTGTTTTTTCCTTCTAGAATAATTTAAGTCTTAGCTAAGAAAATAATGATAAGTTAAAAGGTTGCATATAGCCGGGTGCGGTGGCTCACGCCTATAATCCCAGCACTTTGGGAGGCCAAGGCAGGTGGATCACTGAAGTTGGGAGTTCGAGACCAGTCTGACCAACATGGAGAAACCCTGTCTCTACTAAAAACACAAAATTAGCCAGGTGTGGTGGCGCATGCCTGTAATCCCAGCTACTTGGGAGGCCAAGGCAGGAGAACCGCTTGAACCCGGAAGGTGAAGGTTGTGGTGAGCCAAGATATCCTAGCCTCCCTTGCAGCTAAGTACAGCCATGTCTCTAGGTTCTGCCCTATAGGAACGTAAGCAAAGGGCTACTTGCTTCCTGGTTTGGCCCTATAGGACCTAAACAGAGGGATGCATACTTCCTGGTTCTACTCTATAGGACCTGAGCATAGGGATATATGCAACTTCCTGGTTATGGCCGTTAAAGGAAATGGTATATTCTGCCCATTCTCTCTTTCTCCCTTCTGCTGGCTGGAATGCAGGCATGGTGGCTGGAGCTATAGCTGGTATCCTAAGCCAAGAACTGAGAAAAGGGCGTTGAAAATGGGTGAGGGCCAGGCACAGTGGCTGATGTCTGTAATCCCAGTAGTCTGGGAGGCTGAGAAGGGTGGATCACTTGAGGTCAGGAGTTCAAAACTAGCCTGGCCAACATGTCAAAATCCTGTCACTACTAAAAATACAAAAATTAACTGGGTGTGATGGCATGCACCTGTAGTCCCCGCTACTCAGGAGGCTGAGGCGGAAGAAATGCGGAAGAAATCTGGGAGGTGGAGATTGCAGTGAGCTGAGATCGATGCCACTGCACCACTCCAGCTTGGGCAACAGAGCGAGACTCTTTCTCAAAAAGAAAAAAAAAAAAAAGAAAAAAGAAAAGAAAATAAAATGGGTGAGGAATCTGGGTTCCTGATACCATGGAGCCTCCATAAAGCCCTGTAGTGCTTATTTTTGGACAATTACCTGAGAGACAAATAAACGGCTATCTTGTGTAATCCACTGTGACATTGGCCTTTGTTACTGCACCTGAATCAGTTCTCTTTGACATGTAGTTCTCCCTGAAAAAATCTTCTTTTATTTTGAGAGCCAAGGAGTACATGGCAATCCTTAAATCATATCCTTCTAGAAAAT